TTGACTAAAATCATGGACTATCCCCTTTGCAAAAATGCCAATTTTGCCTTCTTTTTAAATTCATGTTTATATTGTCTAGAAAGGCTTGTTTTCTAACGACAACGTCACCAAATAAAACCTCAAAAATCGTTTTTCACTATTTCTTTTTACGCTCTATGACATGGGAATACAGGGGGTTACAAGGGGTTACAAGGGGTGACAGGGGGTTACAAGGGGTTACAGGGGGTTACAAGGGGTGACAAGGGGTGAGAGGGGGTTACAGGCGGTTACAAAGGATTATAGAAACTTTGTTCTGACTAGAACGTTCCCAGATACTGTTTCTTGAACTATTTTACATCAAAAATCAAAGTTGAACAAATCTTAAATTTTTGACCAAAACGATGGACTAACCCCTTTGGAAAAATTCTAATTTTGCGTTTTTCATAAACAGTTGTTTTTATAGTCTTTAAAGGCTTCTTTTTTATCTAGAACGTCAGCAAACACTTTTTCTCGGTCTTTTTTTGATAAACAGAAAAGATGAAAAAACTTCAACTTTTTGACCAAAATCATGGACTATCCTCTTTGCAAAAATGCCAATTTTGCCTTCTTTTTAAATTCATGTTTATATTGTCTAGAAAGGCTTGTTTTCTAACGAGAACGTCACCAAATACTTTTTGTCGGTGTATTTTGCATAAAAGGAAACGTTACCAAAATTTTCAATTTTTGACCCAAACCATGGAGTAACCCCTTTGGAAAAATGTCAATTTTGTGGGTTTTTCAAACCGATGTTTTAGTTGTTCAGAAAGGCTTGTTTGCTATATAAAACGTCAAAAATCCTTTTTTATCTATTTATTTTCACGATCTATGACATGGGAATACAGGGGGTTACAAGGGGTTACAGGCTGTTACAAGAGGTTACAAGGGGTTACAGTGGGTTACAAGGGGTTACAGGGGGTTACAAGGGGTGACAGGGGGTTACAGTCGGTTACAAAGTATTATAGAAACTTTGTTCTGACTAGAACGTTACCAGATACTTTTTCTCGAACTATTTTGCATCAAAAATCAAAGTTGAAGAAATATTAAATTTTTGACCAAAACGATGGACTAACACCTTTGGAAACATTCTAATTTTGCGTTTTTCATAAACAGTTGTTTTTATAGTCTTTAAAGGCTTCTTTTTTATCTAGAACGTCAGCAAACACTTTTTCTCGGTCTTTTTTTGATAAACAGAAAAGATGAAAAAACTTCAACTTTTTGACCAAAATCATGGACTATCCCCTTTGCAAAAATGCCAATTTTGCCTTCTTTGTAAATTCATGTTTATATTGTCTAGAAAGTCTTGTTTTCTAACGAGAACGTCACCAAATACTTTTTGTCGGTGTATTTTGCATAAAACGAAACGTTAACAAAATTTCCAATTTTTGACCAAAACCATGGACTAACCCCTTTGGAAAAATGTCAATTTTGTGGGTTTTTGAAACCGATGTTTTCGTTGTTCAGAAAGGCTTGTTTGCTATATAAAACGTCAAAAATCGTTTTTTCACTAATTATTTTCACGATCTATGTCATGGGAATACAAGGGGTTACAAGGGATTACATTGGGTTACAAGGGGTTACAAGGGGTGACAGGGTGTTACAGGGAGTTACAAAGGATTATAGAATGTTTTTTCTAACTAGAACGTTCCCAGATACTTTTTCTTGGTCTATTTTGCATAAAAATTTAAACTTGTAGAAATCTCAAATTTTTGACCAAAACGATAGACTAACCCCTTTGGAAAAATTCTAATTTTGCGTTTTTTATAAACAGTTGGTTTTATAGTCTTTAAAGGCTTCTTTTCTATCTAGAACGACAGCAAACACTTTTTCTTGATCTATTTTTGATAAACAAAAAAGATGAAAAAACTTCAACTTTTTGACCGAAATCATGGACTATCCCCTTTGCGAAAATGCCAGTTTTGCCTTCTTTTTAAATCCATGTTTATATTGTCTAGAAAGGCTTGTTTTCTAACGAGAACGTCACCAAATACTTTTTGTCGGTGTATTTTGCATAAAACGAAACGTTAACAAAATTTCCAATTTTTGACCAAAACCATGGACTAACCCCTTTGGAAAAATGTCATTTTGTGGGTTTTTGAAACCGATGTTTTCGTTGTTCAGAAAGGCTTGTTTGCTATATAAAACGTCTAAAATCGTTTTTCACTATTTATTTTCACGATCTATGACATGTTAATACCGGGGGTTACAAGGGATTACCAGGGGTTACAAGGGGTGACAGGGGGTTACAAGGGGTGACAGGGGGTTACAGGGGGTTACAAGTGGTGACAGGGGGTTACAAGAGGTTACAGGGGGTTACAAAGGATTATAGAATGTTTTTTCTAACTAGAACTTTCCCAGATACTTTTTCTTGGTCTATTTTGCATAAAAATTTAAACTTGTAGAAATCTCAAATTTTTGACCAAAACGATGGACTAACCCCTTTGGAAAAATTCTAATTTTGCGTTTTCCATAAACAGTCGTTTTTATAGTCTTTAAAGGCTTCTTTTTTATCTAGAACGTCAGCAAACACTTTTTCTCGATGTATTTTTGATAAACACAAAAAATGAAAAAACCTCAACTTTTTGACTAAAATGATGGACTATCCCCTTTGCAAAAATGCCAATTTTGCCTTCTTTTTAAATTCATGTTTATATTGTCTAGAAAGGCTTGTTTTCTAACGAGGACGTCACCAAATACTTTTTGTCGGTGTATTTTGCATAAAACGAAACGTTAACAAAATTTCCAATTTTTGACCAAAACCATGGACTAACCCCTTTGGAAAAATGTCAATTTTGTGTGTTTTTGAAACCGATGTTTTTGTTGTTCAGTAAGGCTTGTTTTCTATATAAAACGTCAAAAATCGTTTTCTCACTATTTATTTTCACGATCTATGACATGGGAATACAAGGGGTTACAAGGGGTTACAGGGGGTTACAAGGGGTTACAAGGGGTGACAGGGGGTTACAAGGGGTTACAGGGGGTTACAAGGGGTGACATGGGGTTACAGGGAGTTACAAAGGATTATAGAATGTTTTTTCTAACTAAAACGTTCCCAGATACTTTTTCTTGGTCTATTTTGCATAAAAATTTAAACTTGTTGAAATCTCAAATTTTTGACCAAAACGATTTACAAACCCCTTTGGAAAAATTCTTATTTTGCGTTTTTTATAAACAGTTGGTTTTATAGTCTTTAAAGGCTTCTTTTTTATGTAGAACGTCAGCAAACACTTTTTCTCGGTCTTTTTTTGATAAACAGAAAAGACGAAAAAACTTCAACTTTTTGACCAAAATCATGGACTATCCCCTTTGCAAAAATGCCAATTTTGCCTTCTTTTTAAATCCATGTTTATATTGTCTAGAAAGGCTTGTTTTCTAACGAGAACGTCACCAAATACTTTTTGTCGGTGTATTTTGCATAAAACGAAACGTTAACAAAATTTCCAATTTTTGACCAAAACCATGGACTAACCCCTTTGGAAAAATGTCAATTTTGTGGGTTTTTGAAACCGATGTTTTCGTTGTTCAGAAAGGCTTGTTTGCTATATAAAACGTCAAAAATCGTTTTTCACTATTTATTTTCACGATCTATGACATGGGAATACAAAGGGTTACAACGGGTTACAGGGGGTTACAAGGGGTGACAGGGGGTTACAAGGGGTTACAGGGGGTTACAAAGGATTATAGAATCTTTTTTCTAACTTGAACGTTCCCAGTCACTTTTTCTTGGTCTATTTTGCATAAAAATTCAAAGTTGTAGAAATCTCAAATTTTTGACCAAAATGATGGACTAACCCCTTTGGAAAAATTCTAATTTTGCGTTTTTCATCAACAGTTGTTTTTTTAGTCTTTAAAGGCTTCTTTTTTATCTAGAACGTCAGCAAACACTTTTTCTCGATGTATTTTTGATAAACACAAAAGATGAAAAAACTTCAACTTTTTGACCAAAATCATGAACTGTCCCCTTTGCAAAAATGCCAATTTTGCCTTCTTTTTAAATCCATTTTTATATTGTCTAGAAAGGCTTGTTTTCTAACGAGAACGTCACCAAATACTTTTTCTCGGTGTATTTTGCATAAAACGAAACGTTAACAAAATTTCCAATTTTTGACCAAAACCATGGACTAACCCCTTTGGAAAAATGTGAATTTTGTGGGTTTTTGAAACCGATGTTTTCGTTGTTCAGAAAGGCTTGTTTGCTATATAAAACGTCAAAAATCGTTTTTCTCTATTTCTTTTCACGCTCTATGACCTGGGAATACAGGGGGTTACAAGGGGTTACAGGTGATTACAAGGGGTGACAGAAGGTTACAAGGGGTTACAAGGGGTTACAACGGGTGACAGGGGGTTACAGGCGGTTACAAAGGATTATAGAAACTTTGTTCTGAGTAGAACGTTCCCAGATACTTTTTCTTGAACTATTTTGCCAAAAAAATCAAAGTTGAAGAAATCTTAAATTTTTGACCAAAACGATGGACTAACCCCTTTGGAAAAATTCTAATTTTACGTTTTTCATAAACAGTTGTTTTTTTAGTCTTTAAAGGCTTCTTTTTTATCTAGAACGTGAGCAAACACTTTTTCTCGATGTATTTTTGATAAACACAAAAGATGAAAAAACTTCAACTTTTTGACCAAAATCATGAACTGTCCCCTTTGCAAAAATGCCAATTTTGCCTTCTTTTTAAATCCATTTTTATATTGTCTAGAAAGGCTTGTTTTCTAACGAGAACGTCACCAAATACTTTTTCTCGGTGTATTTTGCATAAAACGAAACGTTAACAAAATTTCCAATTATTGACCAAAACCATGGACTAACCCCTTTGGAAAAATGTGAATTTTGTGGGTGTTTGAAACCGATGTTTTCGTTGTTCAGAAAGGCTTGTTTGCTATATAAAACGTCAAAAATCGTTTTTCTCTATTTCTTTTCACGCTCTATGACCTGGGAATACAGGGGGTTACAAGGGGTTACAGGTGATTACAAGGGGTGACAGAAGGTTACAAGGGGTTACAAGGGGTTACAACGGGTGACAGGGGGTTACAGGCGGTTACAAAGGATTATAGAAACTTTGTTCTGAGTAGAACGTTCCCAGATACTTTTTCTTGAACTATTTTGCCAAAAAAATCAAAGTTGAAGAAATCTTAAATTTTTGACCAAAACGATGGACTAACCCCTTTGGAAAAATTCTAATTTTACGTTTTTCATAAACAGTTGTTTTTATAGTCTTTAAAGGCTTCTGTTTTATCTAGAACGTCAGCAAACACTTTTTCTCGGTCTTTTTTTTGATAAACACAAAAGATGAAAAAACTTCAACTTTTTGACCAAAATCATGGACTATCCCCTTTGCAAAAATGCCAATTTTGCCTTCTTTTTAAATTCATGTTTATATTGTCTAGAAAGGCTTGTTTTCTAACGAGAACGTCACCAAATACTTTTTGTCGGTGTATTTTGCATAAAACGAAACGTTAACAAAATTTCCAATTTTTGACCAAACCCATGGACTAACCTCTTTGGAAAAATGTCAATTTTGTGGGTTTTTGAAACCGATGTTTTAGTTGTTCAGAAAGGCTTGTTTGCTATATAAAACCTCAAAAATCGTTTTTCACTATTTCTTTTTACGCTCTATGACATAGGAATACAGGGGGTTACAAGGGGTTAGAAGGGGTGACAGGGGGTTACAAGGGGTTACAGGGGGTCACAAGGGGTGACAAGGGGTTACAGGGGGTTACAAAGGATTATAGAAACTTTTTTCTTATTAGAACGTTCCCAGATACTTTTTTTTGGTCTATTTTGGATAAAAATTCAAAGTTGAAGAAATCTCAAATTTTTGACCAAAACGATGGACTAACCCCTTTGGAAAAATTCAAATTTTGCGTTTTTCATAAACAGTTGTTTTTATAGTCTTTAAAGGCTTCTTTTTTATCTAGAACGTCAGCAAACACTTTTTCTCGATCTATTTTTGATAAACACAAAAGATGAAACAACTTCAACTTTTTGACCAAAATCATGGACTATCCCCTTTGCAAAAATGCCAATTTTGCCTTCTTTTTAAATTCAGGTTTATATTGTCTAGAAAGGCTTGTTTTCTAACGAGAACGTCACCAAATACTTTTTGTCGGTGTATTTTGCATAAAACGAAACGTTAACAAAATTTCCAATTTTTGACCAAAACCATGGACTAACCCTTTTGGAAAAATGTCAATTTTGTGTGTTTTTGAAACCGATGTTTTCGTTGTTCAGAAAGGCTTGTTTGCTATATAAAACGTCAAAAATCGTTTTTTCACTAATTATTTTCACGATCTATGACATGGGAATACAAGGGGTTACAGGGGGTTTCAAGGGGTTACATGGGGTGACAGGGGGTTACAAGAGGTTACAGGGGGTTACAAGGGGTGACAGGGGGTTAGAGGGAGTTAGAAAGGATTATAGAATGTTTTTTCTAACTAGAATGTTCCCAGATACTTTTTGTTGGTCTATTTTGCATAAAAATTTAAACTTGTAGAAATGTCAAATTTTGACCAAAACGATGGACTAACCCCTTTGGAAAAATTCTAATTTTGCGTTTTTTATAAACAGTTGGTTTTATAATCTTTAAAGGCTTCTCTTTTATCTAGAACGTCAGCAAACACTTTTTCTCGGTCTTTTTTTGATAAACACAAAAGATGAAAAAACTTCAACTTTTTGACCAAAATCATGGACTATCCCCTTTGCAAAAATGCCAGTTTTGCCTTCTTTTTAAATGCATGTTTATATTGTCTAGAAAGGCTTGTTTTCGAAGGAGAACGTCACCAAATACTTTTTGTCGGTGTATTTTGCATAAAAGGAAACGTTAACAAAATTTCCAATTTTTGACCAAAACCAAGGTCTAACCCCTTTGGATAAATGTGAATTTTGTGGGTTTTTGAAACCGATGTTTTCGTTGTTCAGAAAGGCTTGTTTGCTATATAAAACGTCAAAAATCGTTTTTTCACTATTTATTTTCACGATCTATGACATGGGAATACAAGGGGTTACAAGGGGTTACAGGGGGTTACAAGGGGTTACAAGGGGTGACAGGGGGTTACAAGGGGTTACAAGGGGTGACAGGGGGTTATAGGAAGTTACAAAGGATTATAGAATTTTTTTTCTAACTAGAACGTTCCCAGATACTTTTTCTTGGTTTATTTTACATAAAAATTTAAACTTGTAGAAATCTCAAATTTTTTACTAAAACGATGGACAAACCCCTTTGGAAAAATTCTAATTTTGCGTTTTTTATAAACAGTTGGTTTTATAGTCTTTAAAGGCTTCTTTTTTATGTAGAACGTCAGCAAACACTTTTTCTCGGTCTTTTTTTGATAAACACAAAATATGAAAAAACTTCAACTTTTTGACCAAAATCATGGACTATCCCCTTTGCAAAAATGCCAATTTTGCCTTCTTTTTAAATTCATGTTTATATTGTCTAGAAAGGCTTGTTTTCTAACGAGAACGTCACCAAATACTTTTTG